CCAGAAGTAGATGGCCTGAGGGATGCCGTGAGCGAGGCGGTGAGGGATGGCCATGCGTGTTTATAAAAAGTTTCTTGATATTATTCTTCCATTGTCTCGCCTGCTGCACCCAAACGTGACTGACCTCGATCGTTTGTGTATACCTCCATCTTTCTGTATGTTTTTGTCTAATAATAGCACTGTATTCATTCGTGGGTTATTTCCGTCCTGAGGATGCCGAACTCAGGCCGAAACGGTGGAGCGAGAGCGAGACAGTCAGAAGCCAAGTTCGAATCAGACTGCATATAAAGACCCCGAACAAGCATCGTCTGCTGTCTCCTCGCCATCGTTCTCCTCGTCGACAAACGTCCATCTTCCAACTTGGACGTCGTCTTTCTGGCCCGTTCTCAGCAAACCGCCGACATTCTTTTACTCGCTGACGTCGCGTTCTGAAATGATCATGAAATTCGTACCTTTCGCCGTCCTCGCGGTTCCGGCCTTCGTTGCTGCCCATGGCAACGACCATGCTCGACTGTATGCACGCCAAGCAACTTCATCTGCTCCTGCTGCTACTGGAACCCCTCCGGCTACCGTCTCCTTCTCGCTCCCCACCACCAATCCCACAGCCGTTCCTCTCGCTTCAATCACTTCAGGAACACCTGTTCTTCCTCCGCTCTCTGTAACGACTACTTATGCCGCCGGAGCTCAGCCAACGTTTTTGTCCAATGCTCCTCCTTTACCAGACTGTTCGTATCTCGCGACATCATTTTTCTTACTTTAACTTAACCCAGTCCTTGTCTTGCAGTGTCAAAGGTTCTCCCCGCGAACTATCCCGCATTAGACAAGGTCCCTCCTACCGATTCTCCTCAGGTTCAACAGTGGATCCAAGATGTAGCGAACTCTGGTATCACCATTCCTAACATCACTGCAACTGTAGCTGGTGGTTGCCCCGCCAATCCTCAAGCTGCTGCTGACACTTCTCGGTGCTGGTGGACATGCGGAGGTTGCACTCGTGATGATGATATCACCACTTGCCCCGACAAGTTGCATTGGGGTCTCACTCATGATGACGGTCCTTCTCCATTCACACCTAATCTCCTTGCGTACCTCCAGCAAGCCAACTTGCACACCACCTTCTTTGTCGTCGGCTCTCGTGCAATTTCTTACCCTACGCTTTTGGTAGAAGAGTACATGGCACAACATCAACTTGGTGTTCACACATGGAGTCATCCCGACTTGACAACGTTGACCAACGAACAGATTATCGCTGAGTTTGGATGGACAAAGAAGGTCATCAAGGATATTACCGGTGTTACACCCACTCATTTCCGACCACCTTTCGGTGATGTTGACGATCGTGTTCGTGCCATTGCTAAAGCTATGAATCTCGAGACCGTCATTTGGACCCGCATTAGTCCTACGGCTACGTTCGACACCGGAGGTAAGAACCCGTTTCTCTATAAATATTGTCAGATATCAAATGGTGACATATTCTGTCAAACAATGTCTAGACTTCAACGTCGCGGGTGGTACCACAAGTCCTTCGCAGGTACTGGCTAATTGGGAACAAATCATGGGTAACGCAACCACCATCTCTACAGGCTTCATTGTTTTGGAGCACGACTTGTTCCAGCAAACCGTAGAGCTTGCTACCGGTTACATCTTACCTGCTGCTTTGGCCAACAATCCCGCTTTGACCATTCAGCCCGTCATCACTTGTTTGCACAAGGACTTCGGTGATGCTTATATCGAGACCAACAATAACTCGACTAATCCTCTCCCTGTCACTGCTTCTGGTTCGGGATCGTCAGGATCGTCTCAGAGTGCTTCGGGTACCAACTCTGGCTCAGGTGCTCAGGCTACTGGTGGCTCTGGAAAGAGTTCTGCAGCTCGGGTATCTGTTGACAACCTTCTCAGCGGTGTCGTTACTGGCGGTGTCGCCATTGTTGCAGGTCTTTCAGCCCTTCTCTAGACATTTGCACATTCGTCCTGCATAGACATTCCGACTTTTTGACCAAAAAGACTTCTTCCTGTTTATTCATTTGTTTGGGCTTGTCTACACTTAAGAACTGTTGTTTTGTTGATAATGATCTACCTTTCGATTAGTACTATTTACCTTTCAACCCACACCTTGACATTGACCTACTTTGACTTGTATCTGAACTTGACTGCGTGCAGTTATACGTTACATGTCTTGCCATGTTTATTTGTCGTCGCTGTTGGACCTAAAGTACTCTAGCTCTAGTACTTTTTGATTTTTTATCTCACTAATTGTTATTTCTACTTCGGACGCCGACTGCATGAGAAACGGGTGTAAGTGGGAAAAAATGGGTAGCAAGGGCTCACTGAATTTCAGAGTACGGTCGAGAGTCTATCGCTTCGCTTCGCAAGCGATATTCTAGGAGGCAGTTGTCCGAACAACAGTAGGGCATTCTGCAATCTGACATTTGATGCGCTCACGCTTTTGATATTGTATTTTTTTTTACTAGACTAGTATAGTTAGGGATGTAAATGAACGACTTTTACACGAGGATTGTATGTACTATATGGCGGATGGGGATTGAGTTCGGATTCGCGTGATCGATATCGAACGTAAATTGACATGTAAAATCGTCAAGGGGGAATAAGTAGAAAAAGTAGTGTCCAAGTTACAAAGAACAGTCCAACCTCAAGGTAGTAATAAAAATGTCATGGTAGCCAGAATGGTCCTAGAAGGTGGGGTAAAAGAGAAGAGACCGATAATAGTCAACAGTCACTTGATGGGTAGTACTTTCAAATTGGCGTGAAGAGGTATAGAAAGAGGCTAGACTTTGAACTCTCAAGAGGTCTTAGAGAAGAGCCAAGAGACCACCCGCAAAGCTGACAGCAGAGGCGATCAAAACACCCATGAGAGCTTGTTTGTGTATCAACAGGTCCGAAACAGCACCACTGGAGTTACCAGATGAAGGACTGCCAGTACCAGAGGAAGCAGAGTTACCTCCCTTAGCGGTAGTTGAAGGAGCGGTGGGGGTGAAGGTAGCAGAGGGGTTAACCAAGCAAGAGCTTGCAGCGGCGTTAGCAGCACTGACAGAGGAAGGCGCATTGGAGTTAACAGTTGCGTTACCGCCGAAATCGCACGATTGAGGGTTGCGGTTGTTGGCTTCGTAGAATTGAGTCATAACGAAAGACAACTTGGTGGCTAAAAATTATTAGTCAGTGTGGGTAACAACCAAGACGCTTTATATAGCGGAAAGCTCACAAGGATCGCAAGAGGAAAGACGACCGTAAGTTCCAGTAGCACCGTCACCAGCGATATCATTACAGTTACCACCGCTGCCGCCGAGTAAACCACAAGCAGTGTCGAGGAGAGGTCCGACAATGCCGCTAGTGTTGGTAGTCTTGGGTGCGAATTGGCAGCTCAAAGTGCTCAGCAAACAGCCGCAAGCAGCATCGTTAGGGGTGGGTGGCAAAGTGGAGGAGGCCAAGAATGTGGTGTTAGCGGCAGGGCAGCTGGGGTAAGAGGTAGTGCCGGCAGAACTTTGGGAGGGGCTGTTAGGAGGGGTAACTTGGCCGTATTGAGTCTTGAGACGATCAAAATCATCGCTGGTAGTGACCGTGCTGCCGTCAGATGAGATCGTAACCATACCAAATTGACCTTGACCACTCTCCGCAGGGAAGTAACTGAAGGCGATTCCACCGGACCAGATGTCGGACATGGGCGAGGTGAAGAGAGTGCCAACCTCTGTCCATAGACGTGGTGGTGAGGTGATGCAACCGTATTCACTAAAGTATGCAGGGACGTTGTATCCAGCAAAGTCACCATTCTTGCCATTGTAAACGCTTGGGGAAGCGTCACCACACCATTCGCTGGAAAACAAATGGGTAAGGTTGAAGGAAGAACAAAGCAAAAATAGAGGCATACTAGTTATTGAGACCGAAGAGATCAATGGCGGTGTTGCCAGAGTTGGCACCACTTGGGTCACAGCTGAGATAGTTGGCGAGAGGATCGAGCCAGGTACTATCAGCATCAACAGCAGCATAACCGACAAGAGCGCTTGACCCCTTGGATTGGCTAGATTAATGATCAGCTACGGTCTAGACGGCGAAAAGGACGGAATCGGCGCACAGATATGCTTTGGTATCGCGAGCAGCAGCTTTAATGAAGGCGGCGGCGGCGGTTCCGTTGGAAGCAGTGATGACTTCGTTACCGACATTATAAGCTAAGACATTGTCGTATTTTGAGAATACGTTGATGCTGTTGATGTAGAGATCGAGCAAATTGGTAGACCATGCAGGAGACAAGCGGTCAATGGAACCGTTGACAGGTAAGGAAAGATCAATGCTGTGCAGAAAGGAAGGGATGAGCAAAGGGGAAACGAAAAAGAACGCGGAAAGTGACGTACATGGTATAGATACCAGCATTGCTGAAGGTGCTCATGCAACTGTCGTGGTTCAAGGTAGAGTCGACACTGTATACACGGATAGCATTGACACCAAGCTGTTGAAGGAATGGCAAGTCTCTTGTGCAACCAGCGCCATCAGCGAGAGGGTCAACGAAGGTTGAAGGCTCGAGGAAAGGGTTGTTGGGATCATTCGAGAGTTGACCTGGATGAAGAAGTGAGCAGGGCAAGCAAGACTTGAAGGAAAGAGGAATACACGCCTTGAATTTGGTAGGCTACACCCTTGATAAAGAACCTAGAGCCGTCTTCGTTGTAGAGATACCTTCCTGCGCGAGTAACCTTTGAGATGGCTTGGACGCCAGAAGTGAGCGCGACGGACGCCGCGAGGACTGCGGCAAGCCGTGCGGTCGGACGCATAGTCGAGTTAGGATGAGGAAACGGGGAAGAAGGAAAGTGAACCTTTGGGAATTACAAGATGTTTTTTTGCTTAAAAGGACCGTCTAGCTGCGGTGTGGAGGTGAGAAGGGAAGGGTTTAAAACAGAACGACGCCTGGCTGGCGATTCTCAATCCAAGGCTTCCCATCCCCGTCCCTCGGCGTCCTCCAAAGCCTCCAGGCATCTCCCACGAGGCACATACTCAACGCCCGCCTAGCTCAATCGGATAGAGCGTCAGACTCTTACACACAGGCGAGGCATCTGAAGGCTGCGAGTTCGACCCTCGCGGTGGGCTACTTTTTCATTCACACCCACAACTCAGTTCAAATTCAGAAAGCATCTTCTATTTATGTCATAAGACGTGAAATTATCGTAAAGTCCGCTTCTATATAAAATAAGAGCACAAATACATAAAAATCGTCTTCCATCTCGATGCCCTGCATCAGCCTCGGTATGTACAGCAACTGTTTCACAATCTCGTCAGTCTACAGGCAATACACAACAAACAGGAAGGGACGTCACCTGATCATGTATGGTATCACAGAAACAACCAAGCATCCAAACGCTGCCCAAGCCAGGTAAAGCGCACTTCCAATCGTCACTTCAATCCCGAGAGGTATCGGCGCACTAGCTGGTCCAACCACAATGTCGTTCACTGACTGGGCTTTCTTGATAATCACTGTCCAGATGGTCGCCCCAATCAGCAGCATCAAGCTCCCAAGAATTGCAAACAGCGTGGATAGCAGGAACGCTAAGGTATGCTTGGCAACACCACTGTTTTTCTCGTCAGCTCCATGAACACCAAATCCATGCAAGTCCTTGACTCACGTAAACAGCGACAAGGCCGTAAATATCGTTCCGAGAAGCAAAAGGTAATACGCTCCATTCGAGAAGTTCCCCAGGTACGAAGAGTCGAGGAACGTCGGAGGTGGGTTAAATATCGCAAATGTGATTGTACTGTAGTTCGCCAACATGTCCTCAGTGATAGCTTCGTACGGTTGGAACCTGTTCGCTGCCGAACTGTTTGAACACAGGCCTGCAGTCTTGTTCACATATGCGCAATAGGAATAAAGTCCGAATTTGTATTCTTGGCGAAGTCCCGCTCGCCGTTGAAGAGGTGCGGACGCATTGTCAGTGTACAACCCGTCCACTGGATCGGGCGCAATGACTGCCTCAAGTCCCGTACTGTGTGTATCCCGTACGTCAATTCCCTTCAGCAAAGCGCACATGGAAATTGGCTCACCCGAAAGTGGTCAAATTGACGTTGATCTGCACAGTCACATTTTGAGATGCAGTCAAAATCACAATTATGAGCTCAACTCACCATAGCAATGTTTCGCGGTACAGTAGCTGTGCCTGTTTGTCCAACCTTCATCCCCCCATGAGTTCTACCCAATACGCTGATGATAACCACCACTTACATGCATGAAGATGAGAAACAGCAGTGATGCTAGCCTGCGCAATTAAAACAAGGTCAGTAGAAATAAACAGCATACTACAAATGATATGACTGACGATAGAAAAGTAGCAGAGCCCACGCAGATTTCGCCTCGCATGGTGCAGAGAAGATTGGTGAATAAGAGAAGAGATGTTGATTACGGGTCGTGATGATTGTTCGTTCCTTCCGAGATTTAACGTCGTCTGCAGCGTCAAAAAACAGCTGTCTAGGTCGTTAGCGAGAGGGTCGTGAAAAGAGCGTAAACCACGAGGCAAGCCTGAAATTCTCCTGCTGCACAGTGCTCCAGGTGTAAACACCAACCTTACTCTAGACGCCGGTCCGATCGTGTTCATTCCGTGACTTCACCCTGTGACAGATGGCACGTGTTGGTGTGACACCTTCCAAAAAGGGGCGCTTGGGATCAAACGCGTAAGAGGGCGCCTCTGCTGATACACTTGCCGCTTCCGTTCCAGGAGTACTCTTGCGATTACCACCTAGCCCTCCTCCTCCTCCGCACTGGCCATGTCTGAAGATACTTCAATACACCCTATCGACGCTATCCCAGAAGGACCTCCACCCGAATCTCTCAGCCCCGATGGCAAGACTGGGATTGTAAAGCGTGCGATGGAAATGACTGTGAACAGAGCAAAGTCGACAGGGAGCAAGTCTCAACTCTCTCAAAGTCAACCATCATTACCTGTGTCTGGTCACCGACGTCTGTTCAGCTTAAGCAAGAGCAAAGGAAAAGAGAGGGCAGTGGAAGGTAAGCGCCTCTTGTCTCTCAAGAAATGACGTTCCCCAACTTTCTCAAACGACTATTGCGCAGATGAATCAACAACAAACACTACGGCGCAGTCTACATATCTTACTCCCACTAGGACTTCATTATTTCGTCAACCTAGTTCCCGGAGTTCTGCTACTACAGCCGACGACGATTCACCCTTTATCACTCCTAGATCCCCTCCTTTTGGTCCCTCACGTTCCGTATTCAATATTTTCAGAGGGGACGGCTCGGTAAGCAGCTATCTGTGTATTGCCCCTACGCTCTCTGACATAGCTATGTATTGGTTTCAGATGCGAGCAGGCACTCAGACTTTGATTCAAGCCTTACAGGCAATTCCATGGCTGGACTCGGAAGATCAAGACAATGACGAGGACCTTCCTCATGATACTCAGGCAGTTGAAGAGGAGAGCGACGAAGACGAAAAACCTGGTTTGCTAATATTCATCATTCATTGTTGCTCAATCCATTCATGTAACTCGAATTGTACAGCTGCAAATTGGCTTGCTTCCTCTATTCACACTATCTACCGCCCCGTCGCACGGTCTAGGTTAAAGAATAGTCGTCGTTCGGATAAGAGATCAAGTAAACTGCAACATAAGAAGGTTCAAAGCATGTCTGATATCGAGGATGAAACTCAGACGGAAGAGCCTGTTCTGTCTGATGAGGAAATCGAAGAAGACTTTGAACCTATGAGGACCGATTCGCCTATTCCTCACAATCTGGGAGAATCTGAATCTTCTGTGACCAACGATGTTCTCACTTCTTTACCTGCCCTAGATGCTTCAGAATCTGGTAGAATTCATCCTCCGAGACAAGGCAGTATGGCAACTGTGAAGTTAGAAAGGAGAGCAAGGCTCGCACAAAAGCTTACCGATATCTTTGAAATTAAAGGTATCGAGGAAGTGATAGCTGGTACGCATGCAAGACTTTATGAGTGCTTGTCAAGTGAATGAAGTATTTCATCCTTGCTAGAGATGCCCTGCTGGTTGCTTCGATCTGTTTGTAAGTCTCTCAACTCTTCTGTTGGTCATAAAAGGACTCACATGCATTTGTACAGTATTACAAGGATATCTCTACCTCACCGACTCCTACCTCTGTTTCTTTGCTCATCTTCCATCCCGCGAGGTAAAAACTAATCGTTTCAGCAATTAACCCACTATTCATCTTCATCTATTTTAAACAGGACCAGGTACTCAAATCTGGCACACTGAGCAAAAGAGCGCAACGGACTAAACGCTGGATCAAGCACTGGTTCATACTAAAGAACGATGTTTTATCCTGGTATCAGTCATCATCTGTAAGACTGGGACACCGCCTCGAGTTGCTGTGACTTACTTTTTGTTTCATCACCAGGACCCGTATTTCCCTCATGGGGTTGTTGATTTGAGATATGCAATAACCTGTGAACCCGCTGGGGACAAGGACATTCGTCTTAGGACAAACCAGAAATCGATCAGATTGTCGGCCGACTCAGTTCCCAGTCGAGACGAATGGGTTAAAGCAATTCGGAAAGTCATGTTTAAGGCGCAGAATATGGGCGACAGCGTCAAGGTTTGCAGCGATGCTATATTATAAACATAACTCGCTAAAACTTGTCTATTTCAGATCGCCATTCCCTACTCGGCCATTGTGGATGTTGACAGGTCTACAGCCATGGATTTCAGTGAAACCATCGAAATCAAAGTGGTGGACAAAGCTGACAGCTACTCCATGGATTCATACTTCTTGGCTTATTTCCATGATATTTCGGCCGCTCTCGAACAAATTCGCGAAGCCGTTCGATCCTACCGCAGTCAATCAGAGAGCTCAACACCTTCACCTCTCATAGATACTACCGTCGCTCGTTCCCCAGCATCACCTAACCTATCTACCGTCTCTCGTGCTCAAACCTCTCCTCCTGGCGACACTCCTTCCAAACCTTCTACTGGATTTAGACTCACCTCCCTACTTCGTCCACTCCAAGAGTCCTTACCTATAGGACGAACCATCAGCGCTCCAGTAGCAGATGCTCCTGAAAGTAATGAAGAATTTACTCACATATCGAAGCGGAATAGTGTCTCTTTTGTACCTCTCACGACTTCACCGAAAGGCACCATGATTGGTGATGCAAGCGTACCAAACCGTCCTCCATTAGTTTCGGAGACATCTTCATCGTCAAGCATAACTCCTACGGCTTCTTACATAAGTAATCACACTTATCCTCCGTCATCTTCATCGTTACCTTCAACGTCTGAGTTAGGTCCTTCTCCTTCTACCGCAAGTTCATGGGGCGTCGGTGTTCCTTCATGGCTCAAGATGCCATCTCGACGTGTCTTCGGGAGCCCTTTCAGTTCACGTTCGGCAGACTCGGCTACTGCATCCCCTGCTGCTATGAGTCCAGACGGAAGAAATGTTTCAGAAGTCTTGACATCCAATATATCTCCTTCAAGTAGTCGGATCAGCACAGGCGAATATGGCTTTTTTAGCATTTTGGAAAAGCCAGCGGCATCTTTAGATCCTGAAGTCGTGGAGAAATTCCGGAATTCGTTTGCATTCGATGAGAAAGAGAAACTGCTCGGTCGTACGTTACTTTTTTAAAAACCACCCATTCATACATACCGACGATTTTCTTCCCTAAAACTTGATCAGATTTCCCTGGATATATCTTTCGATTACTTCCGGTTTATGGACACCTCTTTATCTCGACGAACTATTTCTGCTTTCGGTCTTCTGGCCCATTGACTTCTAGGACTCGGGTAAGTGGTAAAATGTCCTTGAATCTTTATATTCACGGTGTTAAGTTTAACATCATAGATGATGCTTCCCCTTCGAGATATACTATCTACAGAGCCTTCCAAGGCCTTTCGGTTTGGTCACTACGGTTTGGTTGTGATCGTCAGAGGACATGAAGAATTATTCTTCGAGTTTTCTGATGATGAACGTAGGCAATCATTTGCCAAACTCCTTGAACAGCAGATCGAAAACATTCAACGACGTGGGACGTCTGGTGAGAGATCCCACTCTACAGATGGACAACGAGAAGCACTCATTCTGGAAGAGTTTGGTCCGAGAACACCCAAGCTGGCTGACTCCG